CTATTTTATTTCACATGAACAACATTGATTGACAAATCATAGACTCCAGAAGCTGTCATCTGCATTTAACATTCTTCATTTGCACTTGGACACAGCCAGAAAAAAGCTACCGAAAACTAGAAGCATCTTCAATCTATACCAAAGAAAAGCTACATGAATGAAGTAAAGAGCTTCACCGCATCAAATTCCCTAGAAATTCCATGGATCACAAAATTATCTGACAGAAACAAATTTGGCTCTGTAACCTCCACACCATTCACAGCCAATTTATCCAAAAACTTATCGATTTTGAGGTAATAGCTAGGAACCAAGGTCCTCAAAGTCGAATTCCCAGCGGCACTCAACTCCAAATAATCAAACCTCTCGGGCAAAATGTGAATTTTCACAATCTTGTCAAGGAAGGGGGACGGCGAAGAAATAAAGCCGGTGTTGGGAGGGGCAAAAACGGAAACGCTGCTCAAATTCCGGTAATCACGCAAAATCGTATCCACAACAGAATTCAGCCCAATTGCGAAAGAAACAAACCCGCTGGAGCTCAGAGATCTGATGATGCTGGTCCACTGCGCCGCCTGATCTGAACCGTAACCGCCCTGGCTGCCGGAATAATCGCACGGCGGGGATCGATCCACGTCGAACGGCCCGGAAACGCCGTGAACCGAAAACGCGCCGTCAAGGAACAAGTCCGGGTGGGAGATCGAGACGTTGTTGATCTCGATGTGGCCCGACCCGGCGTCGTTCCGGGTTACGACGAGGTTCTTGCCGCCGACGAGGGTTCGGACGCAAAATCCCGGCGGCTTCCGCCGCAGCGCCGCCATGGGCAGGGCGGATGGGACAGCGTGGTAGCGGAGGAGCAGCCGCAGGGCCCAGGGCGGCGCGGAGAGGTTGGAGATGGCGGAGTCGTGGATGGCGAAGACGGTGGAGCCGTGGGCGAGGGCGGGTCCCGGGAGGAAGAGCTCCGGCGAGATCTGGAGGAGGGTGGCGACGACGTGGAAGCCGCCGTGGAGGCGGAGGGTTTGGGAGGCGTTGAAGGCGAGACTGCGGGCCGGATGGAGAGGGGATTCGGGCCCGGCGTGGGTGTTGGTCTTGAAGGCGGTGTAAGCGAGGGCGAGGGACATGGCCAGGTAGAAGAGGGCGTGCCACCAGTGGGAGCACGGTGGTTTCGCCATTGTTGTGGACTGAGAGGCTGAAGAGTCGTCGGAGAATGTGGGGGATTGGGAGTTTCCGTATTCATCCATGGCCACCGGAAGAGTAGCGCAAGAAATTCGAGTGAATTAAACCATGGGTTTTGTTTCTTGAGAATTATTGTGAGAGAAATCAAGAAAAAATTTACTTTAGGTATGGTTGTGTTATGCGGCAGAGATAACTGAAATCTCGGGTCATCAATCGCTATTTAACGAATGGGTTATTGATCACGTTTGGGTCACCCCCAAAGTTGCTTCACTTGCTTGGGTTTCTATTCGAGAATCTACTACTATCACACAAACTTTACGGGTTTATCAAATTCTAACAAGCAAATCACTATTAGCCCAATTTAATTTTTCTCACAAAACGCACTGGTAAAAACAGGTTCAAATAATTTTTCCAACAACAAACAAGCCATAAAATATAACTCAAATAAGAAGTTCATACATCGATTGCTCAAATGAGCTTGTGTCGATTGCTCAAATGAGCACAAGCTAGGCAATAACCCACACAAGTGGACCAACTTCAAGCCATGAGACACCCACATTAGGTTCTCTTACAAGCCTCCAAGACCAAAATCAAAGAAGAAAAACAATCAAATTTGTCAAAATAAAAATTATATCTAGAGAAGCTCTCTGTAAATGAACAGATATAAGCAACAATAGACAATACTCCCCAATGAGCTTCATTTCTCTGATTCAGCATAGAGAGGAAGTAGACAGACTCAAGTCTTCTCAGTCCCCATCTCACTGCCTTGAGGGTGACTTCTTCATTATCCCCAGCCCATCCATCTAAAATTCACATTTCCCTCATATTCCACCAGGCCCCCAAAACCAACATCTTCATCTGGAAGTAGACAAGCACTGACGGTGAGAATCATCTGCCCTACCCCTCTCCCAGATATCTCCATATCACTCAATTGATCAACAACAACCCCTTGAATTTCTGAAACATTCCCCACTGATATCTCCTCAAACTCTCTCCATTCCTTCCAAGCCCCATCAACAACATCTTTATCTGCTATTCTACTGTTCTAAAAAACCCAAGTGTTCCTTGTTCTCCACAACCACCATAATAGGTAAGTTGAGAGATTGACTCTGTCCTGAAAACAGTTATCTTTCCTCCCATAGCAAAAAGATCCCCCCACAGTCCTTGAAGACTATCGTAGGTCTATCAAAATGTGCCTAGTGTACACCACACAATTTCCAACATTTCACAGCCCTTTGACAGTTGAACAGGATATGCTCCAAGTCTTGCACTTCCTCCCCACATACCTTGCACATGCTATCTATTTGAATACTTCTATGCAATAGTTGAGTGTTAGTGCTGAGAAAGACATATCAGCATCTCCAGATGAAATTCTTGATTTTACTCTTCACTGGTAGCTTCAAGTCTTCCTCCAAATAGTTTGCATTTTACTGTGACCTGAGCTGGAACTGGTTGCCCTCTGAGTTTGCATATGTTGCTCCAGCAGCAATCTGTACACTTCTTTCACACTGAACAACTTCATAGGGTGCCAGTGCAAAACCAATCTGTCATGAACATCTGCATGGCTTATAGGAATCATTAAAATAAGGTCAGCCTCCTCATGAGAGAAGGTTTGATTCACTAGGTCCTCATCCCATTCAATATTATTACTCTTAAACAGATCACACACTTTTTTTATTCTCACTTTATCACTAGGAAACTGGAAACTAGGACAGAAATCTTTGGTTTGGGGGAGCCATGGAGACGCCCACATGTTAATTGTCCTCCTATTCCCAACTTGGTATCTCACTCAAAACTTTTATGATTTTCTAGCCTGAAGCCAACTCTTCCAGAGCCAAGAGTTACTACTTCTAGCTGTAACATCAAAAAAATTTTAGTTTAAAAAATACTTACCCTTCATCACCCTACTCACTAATAGATTGGGTTTTGTAATGAACCTCCACAGTTGTTTAGTTAGTAGAGTTTCATTAAAAACCTTGAAATTTCTAATTCCCATCCCCCCACAGTCTTTAGACCTAGACAGAACATTCCACCCACACCAATGGATTTTGTTCTTACCACTATTAGAAAAAGCAGAACACCACAAAACTTTGACAATCTCCCTATAGATATTTTGACAAACAGATACATGAAGTCTGAAACATGACATCACATATATGGGTAGGGCTTCTAAGATGGATATAATGAGGGTTTCCCTCCCAGCCTCACTCAAAAAGCAATTTTTCCAACTGTTCACAATGCTCACAACATAATCTGTAACAAACTGAAATGTTTCTTTTTTGGATTTACCAATACCTAAGGGAAGACCCAGGTATTTTGAAGATTTAACTCTAGAGATCCCATTCGACACATTGCAGATATCATTCTGTAACTCTTCAGGAGCATTTTTGGAAAAAGAGATTGAAGATTTATCAAGATTCACTAACTGGCTTGAGGCATCACCATGATGTCTAAGAATTTGAAGAATAGTGTTTGCATGATGAATATCAGCTTTACAAAACACAATGGAATCATCCGCCAGGAGCAAATTTACCAATCTTCACCCTAAGAACAACTTCAGATTACAGGCTTGTTTAATCAAGTTAGAAAAAGCTTCAGAAATCAGTACAAAAAAGGTAAAGATCTTGTAGGAACAAAATAACCCCAGACAGAACCTTGCACATTAAAAGAAAAAGAGGAAGAGCACACACATGCAAGTATCCAAGAGATGAAAATAGCACAGAAACCCATTTTGGTATCAAGTTTAATAGCCATAAATTTTCACTCAACACGGTCATAAGCGTTTGCATATCAAGTTTAATAGCCATAAATTTGTATTTGCCAGATCTTTTGCTATTTAAGAAATGAATATACTCATTAGCAATCACCACATTGCCAATAATTTGTCTACCAGGGATAAAGGCAGACTGAGTTAGGTCAATACAACAATGCAACACAGATTTGAGTCTGTTAGCAAGGATCTTAGCAATGATTTTATAACAGTGCATACACTGATAGGCTTATGGTCATAGAAAAATTGAGGATTCTTCTTTTTAGGAATGAGGGTTAGCACTGTATGATTAAGATTTTTAGGCATTTTACCTTTGTGAAATAATTTTTTTAACAGCAGCACACAACTCAGATTTTATAGAAGGCCAAGATGTTTGGAAAAAAACATGGGTCATCCCATCATATCCAGGAGCTTTGTGTTGGTCCATATCCCATAAGGCAATTTTAATCTCATTCTCAGAAAACTCTCTAACTAAAGCCTTATTTATCTTCTCAGTGATAGACAAAGGAATACCAGAAAGATTATAATTGTCAACTAAAGGATTGGAAGATTTGAATAAGCAATTCAAAGTATCTAACCAGCTCTTCCACAGTCTCTTGATTATTAACACACCTGCTCCCATCAACCCTCACTAGATTTTTCAAACTATTCACATTCCTTCTCTGCCTCACACTAGCTTGGAAGAATCTAGTGATTCTGTCCCCATCCTTTAACCAGCTAATCCTAGCTTTCTGCTGCAAAAATTCCCCTTCCATCTTGTAAGCCAAATGAGATTTACCTTAAAAAAAGACCACTCATCCCAATTCCTATTCCCAGCCAAGGCTTCAAGTTTAATTAACTCTTCTTTGCAGTTATTGATGATTTTCCCGGCATTAAACTCTTTATTACCCTTCCAGCTAAATAGAGCTTTTTTCACATTCCTAATTCTACCCCTCAAGTTATACAGTTCAGGCCCCTCCACAGGTAATGTCCAAGCCTTCCTCACAACATTAAAAAACCCCTCAATCTTAGTCCATCTAGAGTAAAAAAAGAATCTTTTTCTGAGGGATTCAATAGTACAATTAGACTCCAAAACAAGCATATTATGGTCAAAGGATGCCATAAAATATTGGTAACTCTAGAGTTAGGATTGCCCAATAGCCACATAAGGGAAACAAGGAATCTATCAAGTTTGACTTCAATGAAGTCATCTCCCTTTCTCATGTTTGACCAAGTAAACTTGGACCCAGAGACAACAGGCTCCACACCCCCTATACATCTAACAAACTCCCTAAAAGCTCTAAAGCTGCCCCCTTCCCTAATGATACCCCCTTGCTTCTTCTGGTTGTTGAGAATGTCATTAAGGTCACCACCCAGAAACCAGAAGTCTCTCCATCTCATACTATGTCTGATGAGAGAGTTCCATTGTTGCTGTCTAATAGCAGTATTAGAGTCCGCATAAATAAAGATTCCCCATTTACTCTCTTCTTCCCCCTCCAAAGCAAAATGAACTTCAAACCCAAAATCAATGCAATTAAATTCCAAAATATCCACCCTCTGGGACCAACAGAGAAATAAACCTCCACTAATCCCACAAGGCTTAGAATAATACCATCTATCCTCTAACTTAAGTTTCCTATAAAAAAGCTGGGGAGTGAACCCTTAAGAGTATGCTTGGATACAAATTCAACCCAAAAAAATTCAATTATTTTTAACTCAACTATTTTTTTAACTAACTTTAACTCAACCCCAATATCATCAATATTATCAATATAATTAAATAATATCAATCAATCATTTTTACACACAACACCAACATTAATTCATTATTCATCAACTCACATAATTTTAACTATCACATCACATCTTATCTCTTCTACTTTTACATCAATTTAATTTTAATCATTTTATTTTCAATATTATTTTAATATACCCACTAACAATTAATCATACCAACTTTTTCAAATTTAACCAACTCAAACCAAAAATCTAATCAAAACAAAAACTTTTTATATCTAAGCATGCTCTTAGGGATTCTTTGAACTGGGATATTGTAGAGGGTCCCCCCAAACCTCTAGAATTCCACACACATACTTCCATTGTAAACCTCGAGACCAGTTAGGGTTGGTTCCTCCACCACAAATTGAGCATTTTGGAAAGACAGTTTTTGTTTTTTGGCAGACTTGGTTGTATTTAGGTCTTTATGAAGAGCCATTCCTTCTCTGATTTGCAAATTTCTTTTAGGTTTCAATTGAAGGACAGACAACTTATCAGATTTATCAACAATAGGATCCACAACCATATTTTTAATCACAGGTTCTTTACCCAATTTTGTTTCTCTTTTAAAAGTTTTTTCCTTTTTCTGAAGAACTCTAACCCCTGTAGACCCATGTTGGACATCAATGTCCACAAGCTCTGATGAGAAAAGCCAGGTCACCTCAGAAATAGTTTCCAGAGATTGAAAACTATTAGAATTTTTAACACCAGCAGGACCTAAACTACTCTCATCCATAGAACTCCCCACTTTATCTAGATTATGACCAGTTTGCTTATCCACATTAATAAGAGCCAAGGGATTTTACCACCTATACCACTATCTTCCTGGAGATCTGTTTCATTTCTATCTGCTCTCCTATTTGAAGATCCACTATCAGTAGTTGGGAAACTATTAGACTTAGACCTACTAAGATTGAGAGGTCTAAGTCTCAGCCACTCACCAAACTGCCCTAAGTTAAGAGTATTTCTAATGACATCCTTTTTCTTAGATTCACAGTTTTTATCACTATGAGCCAATCTACCACAATAGAAGCAAAAGCTTTGGAGACTTTCATAATCCACCCCACTTGCTTTCATTGCCCTGCTTTATTTTACTGCCTCTCAGTATTTTCCCTTTTAGTTGCATCTCCACCAAAACTTTAAGTATATGTCCCTGATGACTATAAGCTCCTGGCACTTGGACATGTAACGGTTGGCCTATCAATCTCCCAATTTTTATTCCTGTTTCAGCACTGATCCAGTGTAAGGGAATGTTATGGATCTGAACCCATATTTTGATATATTCATCTGCTTCCTTCAATGCAGTTTCCTCTGGAGACCATTTCTTGAGCAGAATATACTGCCAATCAAAACTCCAGGACTTGCCATTAAGAATTTTGTCTTTGTCTTCTTCACATTGAAAGAGAGTTTGAAATACATTCTCTCCCAGACTTTTTATAGTGAATTGTTGTTTCGTCATCTAAATTGACTCTAGAGTAGTCTTTAGGCCATGAAAATTTTCTTTCTTCTCGCCATACACTTACCCAGAAGACTGAGTCTGCATTCATGAACAGTCGGTTTTACATTTTCATCAGATAGCTCAATTCCCTCTTCCTCCTTCTCTGATAGTGCAAACTTGAGAAATTTATCCGCTAGATCTTGCTCTATCCTACTACGAACACAGCAAACCCTCAAACTCTTTCGAAAAGCGAACCCTAACAAGATCCCCAATTAGAAACCCTAACCCTACCCCAAACTGCCAGCGGGATTGACCACACTAACCTCCTAGACAATGAGGGGAAAAACACAAAATATTAACAGCCACCCTGAAATGAATGGATTGGATCGAAATAAGCAAAGATCTGGCAGATCCATTTGGAAAAGAAACTAGAAAAACAACAACTCCGACTGCGTTGAATAAGAAACGAACACACAAAGATGAAGGCAGAATAAGAAATAATCACAATGAAAATGAAAGAAACACGAGAATCACAGAAGAAAAACAAGCAAAATCCAACTAGTGGAACAAATCTCTAGAGAGAGAAAAACTTCCAATAAGAAAACTAGTCTTTTGTCTTGACGAACCAAATGCTCAAATACTAGAATCACACCCTAATAACCTTGATTTAGTTAAAAGTGTTTGAGTTTCTGATGACACAAATTGATAGAGCTAAGGGGAAATGGAATAAAAGCCAGGAGTGCAAAGGGAAGAAGAGAATGTGGCAGGAAAAATGAAAGTTGAAGGTGAAAAACAAAGTCAAAAACTTCATATGGAGACTTTGCCATGGATATTTGAGCATCAAGAGTCACTTGGCAAGGAAGAGGCTACAAGGAGATGAGAGGTGTGAGATTTGTGGAGAAGATACTGAAAATACTGAATACTTGTTTTTCAATTGTCAAAGACCCAACCTTTGCTGGAAGCTGATGGAAATCAAGTGGAGTGGAACAGATCAAACCCAGTTCAAGTTCAGAGGGTGGTGGCATTCCATCTGTACTCCTGGTACAAAGCATTATATGTCTAATAGAACTAATCTTTCAGCCTACCTTTTATGATGGCTTTAGAAGACTAGAAATCTGTGCGTTTTTAAGAAAAAATGCGCCAAGGAGGAGGAAATTGTCAAAGGAGCAAAAGGTGAATGGGTAAAGCACCTAGCTGCTCTAGATCTTGATAAATCTCAGCTAAAATGGGAGGGTACTAGCAAACATGCACTTGAGGAAAAGTCTGAGTTGGGATAGGACATGTCCTTACTATCAGTGCCCACTCTTCAAAAAGTGGCTGGCTTGGGATGGCACTATGGAAGGAGCGAGAAGCCTGGGATACTTGGTCTGCAGCCAAGAAATTTCAAGTTCTCAAGAAGAAGCATTACTGAAGACGCACAGATGGGCACTAGGGGAAGGCAAGAAGAGGAATATTGATAGAATCTGTTGTTGTCTAAATAACCAGAGCTTGGTGCTGAAACTGAGGAAAAAATCTTAAGTTAATGTAATTGCTGATGATGTTTATGGATTAGCTAACTATGTAATTGTTCTTTACATTTTACTGCTTTGAACTGTAGTTCTAGTGTTTTGTTAGCCAAGTTGGCTTATAAGGGGCAGTGATGTTTCTGACCCAGGTGGCAACTCCGTATCCTTTGTTGGATAGGGAATGCTTGAACTTATGATCATATGATAATTCAGTTATACTTTATTACGAGTTTTAATGTATTGTTGTTGTTTGCCTTGACAAAAAAATCAGCTTAGTCCATATAATTTGTTTGAACAAACATGAAGTTTCACTGTCAATATTAATTCCTTACTGCAATAAATTAACATCAATCAACTGAGAAGCTGACACGAGTAGCCACCACAAAACAGTAAACTGACACAAGAAACTACTGAAATCGAACGATCTTCAGATGTGGGCACTACACCCAAAACGGGTGCGGAAGAAGAAAGAAGAATTTGAAAACAAAAAAGGCAAAGAGAAATCGAGGTTATAGAAAACCTGTCTCCATAAGCTTCAACTGTAACTTATTACAAACCCGTTTGTTCCAAGTTCTAATACATATAATTGCTATCGCAAACTTAAAAATACATCCCTATGTGTCCAAACATTAAAGCAGGCAGCCCCTAATGCCTCACTTAAGCTCATTTATCGAGTACATAATCACTCCTTTTTCTCCTCATTTTCTTCAGTTTCCTTCATGTTAGTCTTGGACTGGCCATCTTTGTTGGGCTTTGAGGCTTCACCATCAGTTGTCTCTGTGGTTACGCCATCTGCAGGCTCGGCTGGTTGCCCTTCGCTTGTGCCTTCAGTTATTGGCACAGTTGTCTTGAGAGTCCCGACTTTGACGTATTTGCTCATGAACTTATACTCCCAATCTTGCAAGGCCTCAAGCTCAAACACTCCCAGCCCAGTAATGTCGCCATTTAGGTCTTTGTCCTCGAAAGACATCTTCGCTAGTGCCCGGCTCGCATCTTTTCCGGCAAATAATGCGTACGGGCCACCAGGTCCATAAAACATCCTGCGTTTAAAAAAAAAAAAAAGGTTTAAGTAGAAAAATGTATGTGAAAAAGAGGTGACACATTGCATACAAAAACTATTTGTGTATCTAGTTCTACTATAGTTTCAAGAAGGAACCGTGATGCAGTTTAAAAAATCCCGTCATCTTTTGCTTATATTCAATGAGATTATGTTTTACAAATAACCACATTTAAAAGATGCAATTTGAAAAATAGAGATATATTAAGGGGAGGGAGTAATTTCCAGATATAGCACATAAGTTGTAGGGTTCTTATTCCTTTTTTTCTTTTTCTTTTTTTTTTTTTCTCATTTTTGGTGGTTAACCACATGTTGATCTTGGTCTTGCTCAACTGATCCAAATTATTTGTTTTCTTTACGCCACTCTTTGAGACATGGATTTGAACTCATATCTTTGCATAATGAAAGTCCAAAGGCCTAATTTGAACATTCCATATATTAATGAGGTGTTTCTAATAGGACATTCTCCATATTATGAACATCGACATTACATGTTAGTTCGGGAACTTGTTTTGCATCTAATCTGTGAAGATCAAAGTTGTTAACATTTACCAAACCAATTACAAGTAAAAAGCAAAGACCAAAACAGGTGCTCTCCAAGTACTTTAATTACTACTACGGAATCTGGCGTTTAAAAAAATGAAACCTGCAATTAAAACTTACATTACGGAAAGGTTCTAACCAGGTGTTTTCCAAAATTTGCATTTCTGCAGAATATAACTAGCCAAAAAAGATTGAAAACGGGAAAAGTCGACCCGATACATTTCATCAATGACCAACAAGCTCAGAAAGAGCCAGGTCCAGAAATAGTAGGCTACAACAAAATTCAAGATTGTGCCAAAAGAACTCAGACTGCTTTCAAGTAATAAAGAACTTTTGAGATTGTGCGGATGCTGTTACATAACAGAACAGAACTCACAGATGTCTTGAATCAAAAAATCAAAAACACTGAGATGCCAGATCCCACCAACAGATCATTTACTAAAAAAGTACAAATTTGAAATCCCAAATATTCTTGCATAATGGGTACTTTACCAATTCAAGACAATTCACAGCAGGCTCGTTTTCAAACAAGAAATGGATCCCACCAACTTTATAGTACAAGAAAAGAAGGAGAATCATTTTAACTCAGAAGGAAGTGAACACTTTATCCAGCTCAAAGCAAATACGTGGTAAAGCGAATAGACAACCAAATAACGAGATTAGCCAAACCGCCAAAAACACACTCTTTATGCACACTGAAGATACAAAAGCTCGCAAAGTACCAAAAATCTTTAAAACCTATTCCAAAGTACCTTTTCTTAATGGAAACTAACATCTGAGGGAACACCAAAAATCAACAAAAGATTCAACCTTCATTCTTCCTCAACCTCATATCACCAAGCCGACATTTATTAATTTCTTCTGTTAGAGTCTACTGATAAATAGTTAAATATCGTCAAGGCTAAATTCATCAACAAAACATATCGGGCTTGAACACACTTCCCAAAACAATAAGACATGAAATCGGCTTGAACTGAATAGAGTGAAAAAAAAACAGTATATAAATTTTATACGATAATACCAAGCTACTCTAGTTTAGCTCTGTCAGGAAAACTCATTGAAACTCAATTCAATTAATAGTTAAAACAAAATTAAACATCATTTGAAGTTGGAAAACGAAAAACGAAAAAACTTGAATAAGCTTGATGAGTAGCATAATTAATTTGACTAGACTACAACAAACCTAAGAAAGAACCAAACTCACTACAACCACAAACCAAACAGGTACCCAACAACACCATCAAATCAAACATAGCCAAAATCAGCAGAAATACGAAAATAATGAAAAACCATACCTACTCTGCGTGACGTCATAGATCTGACCCTTGATCGCCATAAGAAGGGGCTTCTTAGGATCGGAACCGTCGTACTGTTTCAACTCTTCAGCTGTGATTTCGCCCAACTGAACCGGTGGCGGCAGAGGCTCCATTTGTTCCTCAAAAGCTGTTGACCTCGGTTGGATGTGGCCATCGCCAGAGGAACCGAACAAATTCGAAACGACGTAGTAAAGGGTGAGGCCTACGGCTAGGACCGTGAAGAAAGTAGCTGGAGAGAGGCCCGTGTATGCTGTGATTGATTCTTTAAGCGTCTCCCACAGTTCGAGGGCCATTGCTTATTGCTTAATGCTTAGAAAGAGAGAGAGTTTTGTCTTGAAACGTTATTTATATTCAGGACTCGAGACTTTTGGAGTATTTTCGACGAGTAGCAACTAGCAAATAGCAATGGTGGTGCTAAAAGTTGAACTACTTTTTCAGCCCAATAAATTGTATTTATTTTTAGTCGGCTACGCAGTGAGAAAAATATTTCATATTTTAAAATTCTGTCTCAATTTTTGTTTCATTATCATAATTATATATAATTGTAACATCATTATGAATATTTGTTATTTATCCAATAATTGAAAATAAAATATAAATCAAAATATATAATTTTAGAATAAGAAATCTCATTATGTACTTGATATAATAGATTATGTGGTATTTGAATGCAGACTTTTCCCCCAATTCTCAAAATATATAATTTTAGAATAAGAAATCTCATTATGTCACGGGATTCATGATGGTCGTGAAAATGGCCTTCTAAGGAGACATGTGTTTGGAGAGGATTTTTTGGAACAAGATTTTGTTGAGGGTTATTTTAAAGGTCATTATGGAGTACTTAAGAAAAAAGTTCACTAAGGGCTAAGACGATCTCCAGTCCCCTGCTCTACTTTACTCTAGAGTATAGTAAACCAAAATTCAAGTTCCATCTCTAGCTCTTCTCCCTAAAATTTATCCTACACTAAATATATTATTTTTTATTCATTTTTATTTCAAATAAATTGATATATATATGTATAATTAATTTTATATAAATGTTTATTATCCAAATAATAAAAATATGTTTACTTATGACAACACGAAATTGCTTCATAAATTCAAACAATATGTATAACAACACTATTGAATTCTCTACTCCAGCGCAAGATTCTAGTTCACCGTTGGATGGATTTTTCGTGCTACTCTAGCGATAAAAGCCAAAGATAGCGCACGATTAAGGAGGCTCTAATTAAAATGTTGTCGGAAGTCTGTTTTTAATCAATTGACCTGGCGTTGGATTCATTCACACAAAATGTTAGTCTAATCGGTGTTTATATGTTCATTCAATTTCCCATCTAAAGTTTATGCCCATGAACACAATTTTTGACATTTGTTCAAATAATCCGACTTTTATATATCTCACCTTTAGTACAATTTCTCTGTTTCCGGCAACTTGGTTTACTTTTCAGTTTTCACACAAGTACAACTAATTACCAAAAAAAAATATATATTATAATAAACTAGGACAAATAACCTTATTTAACATTTACAAACTCTTACCTCCAAAACACACACAAAATAATGAAGCACAAACAGGGAACACATGACTCTCTTCTCCTGTCCTCCACATGTATACTATTACTATACCTAAAACTTACAACATATATACACATCAAAATCTTCATCTCCATTTTCCTTATTTGAGACCCAAAACCCTGTTAAAACCATTTCATAACTATGCTCACATCACACACAAAAAGATTCAAAAAGCAAGAGAAGCAACTTCATCCACCCTCCACAAATCCTCCTCATACTTATACCACCTCATCAACCCCTCATCATTCCTCGTCCGCCGGCACATCTCGCACGACCCACTCATGCACGTCAAAAACCCCTTCAGCCGACTCGCCCGCTCGATCAACCCCTTGTCGAGCTCCATGACGACCCGTCTAGCTCCCGGGTAAGGGGGCACCTCGACTATCATACAATGGGATAAGTTAAGTACTTCGAGCCCAATCATCCCGTCCAATATTATTAAAAGGGCGTCTCGGGAGAGAGTCGAGCACCGAAGGCTCAGGACTTTGAGGTCCGGAAGGAAGGTCGCCAAGCTGGACGCAAATAGGACGTCACACGGCCCCATGATTTTGAGCTCCGAGAAATTCTTGCAGCTTCTCGAGATTTGCTCGATTAGGTAAGGAGAGTTGGATATGCTTGGCATGGTTAGAGACTCGAGTTCACTCCAAGCTTCTATGGCTCGGCATATGCCTGTTTTTTTTATTCGGTTCCACGCGGGCATGATTAGACGCCTCAGCTTGGGGCATCTTTCAGCGATGAGTGAAACATACAGGACTAAAATTACAATTTACTAAAAAAAAAAGAGTAAATTACAATTTTAGTTCTGTATGTTTCACTACCTAACCTTTTCGTCCTCTTCGAATTGCGTTTTTTTTTCGACCCGTGTGTTTGCAAAAAGGTTACAAAAATGTTCTTTTCATACATAAGGGACGAAATTGGAACATCTTTTTGCAAAACAAACATAAAAGACCTTTTTGTTGCGTAAATGACTTTTTTGTAACCTTTTTTGCAAACATACGAGACGTTAGGGCAGTGAAACATACAGGACTAAAATTACAATTTACTTAAAAAAAAAGTTAAAATGAGAAACAAATTTATAATAACGTACCTTTCGGCCGTATACGTCAATTGATCATCACTAACATACATATTGTAATGAAAAATCAAAGTGTGTATGTGGCCACGGCTGAGATTCAAAGCAATCTTGAGGACGCGCGTGAACGTCTTGTCCGAACGGGCGTCAACGTATACGTAAGGCTCCAAAGGGATCTTTATGAAGTTGGACTTTAATAACGACATGTCGAGTGTTTTCCAGAGCAGAGGGTCACACGCGGCCATTCTCCACGTCTGACAGACTTGGCCGACTCCCGATGTCAGCTCGAAAATATTCAAGTTTTGGAAAATTCGGACCAAGATATCGATATCCATGTCGTTCCACCTTCGAGAAATGCACTCCGAGGTATCTTCCATTGCATGGGCTTGTGAAATTTTTTGTCTTAGTTTTAGAACTACACAAAAAGGAATACATAATTTGGAAACAAATGCAGAAATCAGATCCTTGTGGGCAATTAGATGGTAGAATGTATCATGTGTCCTTTCATGTTCACGGCACACAAGCAAATACGTCTTGAAGGGAAAGTAGAAGAAGTTTGTAAAATTATCACTCAATTGTGTTTAAGAAAACACATGACATTTAAGCAGTTGGGCAAGCAGTGCCCGAACTCATAATTATCTTCATAAAGAAAAATACTCGTGGAAACTTCCGCAAGTACCGAGTTTCGTGAAAGATAATGACTCATACAATTACTCAACACTACAGATTTTATTTCAGATAAGGAGCGATTGATTCTTACCAAGACTAGTTTCAGGGGATTTTTCATTCTTATATTTGTGTGTAGAGACCAGTGTTAATCGCAAAAGTCTCATTAACAAAATTTGATTTATTGTTTACATATCTTTTACTAATTGGGATGAACTTAGTAATGTAAGCAGGCAAAAGTCTCTAGAGTTGGGTAAATTTTGCAGTAAAACAAAAAGAAATGCTGCATAAAGCAGTCATCCCTTGTATTATGCATTATTTCATATCTATTGATCGCTTGGCTAATTTATGGCATACAATTCATCCAATTCTTCATGTTGGTGATAATTATAATTAAAAAAAATTAAAATTGGAAGAAAACGAAAAAAAGTGATGATGCAGAAACACAATTCTTATTATCCTCTGTCCTTAAATCGCAAATTTCTCAAGTCACTCTTCTTCATGTACTAATCCTCTGGAAGATATTATCCAAGAAGAATTTGTTTGAGTTTGTTAACTATATTTCAGAGGGTAGCTATATCATCAAAATTCAAATAAAAATTTCATCATTTCACAATCAAATTCCACAAATAATAAAAGTAAAAATCAAGTAGTAAATAAAAGATGAGAAACACGCAAAATTAAGGTTCTACAAAATCAAACAGATCAACTGAAATTCACACCAAATCATGCATTTTTTTCAGACATAAAAAGAGAAAAGACAGCAAAGAAATCTCATTCTCACCATCTTGACAAATCCAAGAAGCATAAACAAGCAATTAATCCAGAGAAGACTTATGCCTACGTTGAAATTACGCTGAATTCAGATTCAGAGAAACACATCCCTTACATTCTTTAAAGGAACACCCAAA